CTAAGCAATTCAATTTGCTGAAATTTGTTTTTTTTTTCCATCCAAATTCTATTTTTGCAATCAAACGAACCCTAACATTATTATTAATATACAAGTAGAGTTGGCTAAGCATTAGGCGCCTAAGGCCTTATATTGGAAATTATCTAAAAAACATTAAAGAACGATCTTTAGATAATAATATTAGTAATATAAATATTTTAACAAACTTATCAAAGAAAAACTTGTCAATAAATAAATGTAGAAACTATCTACTAATTGAAAACCCCGCTAGAAACAATATTTATTTATTTATTTATTTTCTTATATAAAAATGGCGTCTATGGAGAGAATCATGCTATTTGTACAAGGAGGATTTAACACCCTCCTTGACAAAACGGACTCATAGGGGGAGGGGGAGCAATTTTTTATCATTTTTTTTCACTCAAGTCCCACACGAATGTGATAATCTGTCAAGAAGGTGGTAAACCATTTTCCTGTACAAATGGTACTTTCCTTGTACGAACTAGGTTGACAAACTTCGTTTATAAACTATATGTTGCCAATATCTAGGCCAATTATTTTAAAACAGTTTTTGAAAGTCAACGAAAATAAATGGTCTAAATCTTGTCAACACTTAAGAGGGTGTTTTGACACCCATTTTTATGTAAAAATTTATTTTAAAATAGTAAATTGATGAAAAATATGTGGTTGAAAAATAAAGAAAGGTTTTTGATATACGTGTGATATTATTTTAATAAAAAATGTGTGGTTAAAAAAAAGAGAGAAAAATACATTTTAAAAAAAATAGATACCAAATGGGGCCTTAGTCTGTAAACAGACTTTACAAAATTTGTACAACTAGATTATTTCCAATGAGGATATGGCATTGCTATTGCTGTGAAAGTACTTTATCTTAATGGATTCCTGTTGTGTACTGTTTTTTAAGAAGAAAATTGATATTGAAGTTTGGTTTACTCTGTGTAATCTGTAAACAGACTTTACAAAATTTGTACAACTAGATTATTTCCAATGAGGATATGGCATTGCTATTGCTATGAAAGTACTTTATCTTAATGGAGTTCCTGTTGTGTACTATTTTTTAAGAAGAAAATTGCTATTGAAGTTTGGTTTACTCTGTGTAACATATTGCTATTCGCCACAGTGTATTTTGCTTGATGTTAACTCGATCAACAAAAGATTTATATTAGGGTCTCTGTGTTCTTATTATACGCCATTTTCCTATGCCCAAATGCAGCCCCTGTGCCGCAAGAAGCTCATAATTAGGATTGGTGTGGAAGAAGATAATCGAGTTGTTCTATTCCGTTTTTGGTATTTGGTCTTCGGTGGTGTTTTTTTTTTTTTTTTTTTTTTAAACATCGATGATTCCTGACAACAATACTGACAACATTTTCATTAGTAATCGATGATGAAGGTGTCGCTAATGAAGGCCTGTGGATAATTACCCCCAAAATTTTCATCGAACAATCATACCTTGGACAATTACCACCAGAATTTTCGTTGGTGATAATTTTTTCATTAACAATTTTATTTAACGTTATCAAAAAGACTTCATTGGTGATTCTCAACAATGGCGAATCTAGGATTCACGGTTAGTTAGGACGGACGTTAACCATTAATCATCGACCGTTAATAGTCAACGTCCGTAATAGTGAAGTTGTTTATTAATATTTAATTAAATTATATTAAAATCCTTCAATCTATTGTTGTTTATTAATATTTAATTAAATTATATTAAAAATCCTTCAATCTATTCAAAAATACACTAAAATGAAAGTCAATTAAGACAACTGCATTATCTCTTTCCCTTTCTTATTCAATTGCATTCTGTCTTTCCCCTTCTAGAGGCCTTTTTATTCTTCTACTTTCTTCTTTCACCACAGACATACCACATTATGACATAATCACCTAAGACCTTTCTTAATTCTTCTTCACACTATCCGTTATCCACATATTATTTTTCTACTTTCTTCTCTCATAGTCATAAAGTCATAACATATAAATAAGAAAGACGGGACTTACAACTGAGAGACGAGAGTGATGAAATCCGAAAGTTGATTCCACATAAAATCGAGGAACTTAAGTATTTTGCTTCCTGTGTTTCAAGGACAAAAACCAATTTCGAGCATTTCAATTTAAATGTATCAAATTGGTAAAGTTTAATGGTTAGAAAGAGAAGAGAAATACCTTCTTTTCTTCCAATTTGTTGGGGGCCTAAAACAGAGACGGCGGAGAGGCTCACTTCCAAAGTCCAAAAGGCAAAACTGTTTCATCTTCTTCTTGCCACTTCTTTAGTTCTTCTGCCTGACAATCACTGTAAATGTCCACCTAGCGCCGACGACGATTGTAAACTCCGGTGGAGCCACATGCGAGGTCGCGTCCTCTCGCCAGGTGCTGGCTCCGCCACTAATTCTCAACAATGTCATTGACAGTATAGTCATCACTGTTCTCTGATGAAGACAATAACCAACGACATTGCTAGCGGTAATTACTACTAAAATGAGAGTTGAGGACGTAAATACTACTGTTTCTAGGATGATTATTAGGTGCAGTATACGGTGAAGGTTGGGGACTTCCGATGCTATTTTTTCCAAAAATATATGGCGAAATGTATACGTCATGCAATGTCTAAGCCAACTGAACTATGAATGGACAATAATACCCCCACGCGTACTACCTACTAGATATTTTTATTCGATAGTGCTGGAGGTACATAAGGACGTGCTTATAAGTGTATACTCTCCTCACATGATGTGTGGGGTCCATCCAAATAAGTTTCTAGTTGACTACACACCCCATGTGAGGAGGATGTACTCTCTTAGGTACATTCCATCATGTACAACTGAATTAATTGATTTTTATTAGCATAAAATGTGACGAAAGGAATTCCAGTTTAGTGTTTTGGCAGTTTGTACAGGGAGAATATACCTAGATATCTGTTGTTTTGTGGAGAATGGAGGGATAATTTTGGTAAAAAAAAATGGAAGAAGTGTCGGTCCCACTTTTTATTGTGATATGATGTATGCTTCACTTAGACCATGTTTGATTGGCCAAAGTTTTCCATGGATCTAGGAATTGGAATTCCTAGTTCCACAAATTGCATGCTTGATAGCATTATTTTTTAGGGAATAGATTTTCTCACTTTTTCCAGTCACATATACTATTTCTTGGTTTTGTGGTATGGTGGGAATTGATTTTCCAAGCACTATGGAAGATTTTTTTTTTTGGTAAACAAATTATATCCCTAATTGTAAAAAAATATTTTCCTTTAATTGACAATTTTTATGTAAAATAAAACTAAATGAATATCAAAAGATAGATAATTTTCTTAGCTTTTTTTTTCTTTTTTTTTTTTGGCAGTGGAAACAAATTTCATCCCCAACCAATAAATTCCATCTTTTTGATTGGCAATTCTCATGCAAAACAAAGTCAAATGAACACCAAAAAATACTTTTATTTCAAAAATTTTCACGTAAAAAATCTTACTAATCAAACACAATAATTTACAATTCTCAGGAAATTAATTTCTACGTAATTCAGTTCCCTGAAATTCGTTTTCTTTTTATCCAAATTCCATATTTACAATCAAACAAACTCTTAGTGTTTGTTTGTGCCCCATTATTTGTGAGTAATGTATTACTAAATAATTATTGATATTAAAATGTGTGGTTAAAAAAATAATTTTTTTTAAATTTACGTGTAACATTATTTTAATAAAGAATGTGTTAGTAAAAATGAGTACTATAGAAAAAAAATATAATAGAATATTAAAAAAATGGTAGACAAACAAAACCTTAGATGTGACTATACGAGAATCACTTGATTCTAACATCATAAATTTTAGAATAACTCAGTTCATTTATAATTTAAATGATAACTCACCTAGGTACGATAATTGAGTCTTGTTATAGTGACAGGCCCAATGACAGATTCAAAAACAAGAAAGACATGTGTCAACGCATAATTGAACAGCTTGAAAAAAAAAAAAAAAAAACTCAATCAGGAGCTGTCAATCCATCTTGTCACACCATCCTTGTCAAAAGCCCATATTCAAGGAGCATTATTCATAATAATTTCACTATCATATTATCCAATATTTAAAAATACATTAAAACTTCATTTGATAATTTGTCTGACCCCCACTAGACATTTATGCTAAGATGGTCATCGTCCGTGTACTGATGTACACTATTGACATATTTAGCCCTTGTTTGAGCCCCAATTTTTTGGTAGAATGAATTTTTAAATAGTGTATAAATAGAAAATTTGTGTTTAAAAAATAAGAAAAAATTTTGAATTTACGTGTAATATTATTTTATTGAAAAATGTGTAATTAAAATGATGTCAAAATACTGTTAAAAAATGTATTTTCCCAAAAAGAACGGAGCTCAAACAAGGACTTAGCATGTTAGATCAAACATAAAATGACAAATACCGCATCTCTTCCTAATCAGTAATCATATTGTGAACAAGAAAACATACTGCTCTATCCTTAACAAAATGAAAATGACAAGCAAGCATATAAAAATAAATAAATTAAGTTATACTGCAAGTACAACAATTTGACATAATGGATTACCGACTTTTTACATACAAGATGTGAGGTCCACGATTAAAATAATTGCGAGTCCCACGATAGTGAGAATGCTGGGCGAGTATAGCACCATAGACAACATTGTTAGAAGACCCAATGTCATTGATTCCTACTTCCTAGAAAAATTGGTAGAAGATTTGAATACCCAATCACGAAACTTAGATTTCAATCAAATCATATACTAAAAAGTAATGCTATTCATCAACCATAAAAATAAAAACCACACCCAAATTCAAAGTCCAATGCATTAAAATGCATCACAACTCCACTGGACAATAAATCAAGAAGCTCATTGTCATTTACGAAGGTGATGATGACATTACTCTATACTTAAATTCAAGAAGAATCATCTACATGATAGTAGTAGCAGCATGGAATTTCGTGTTTTCAGCCCTTCAAAGGAAAAAAATGTGTGTTCAGTTACATTACTGGACGATCTTAGACACTATAATAAATCAGATTTTAGCTTCTTCTTTTTCTTTTTTTGTTTTTCATTTCTAAAACTGCTTATTTGTACCGAACATGCCATAAGAGTAGAAAAGGATGCAACATGCTAGTAGATAACAAAGTAGGGGCAGAGATCAAGATGATCCCCATTTGTCTGGAACAACACAAACAGTTCCTTCATGATCTGGAAAAAAATTAAAAATCATAAGACAAGAAAAGAAGAAAAAACGTAGGGGGTGTTCTCTTTGTGTTTCAGTTTTATGTTTTGAGTTTTGAATTCATTTTGAGTTTTGTATTTTGAGTTTTTGTTTTGAAATTCTTGAAAATGCGTTCTTTTTGTTAGTTTCTCAAAACAAAAAAAAATAATTTTTTTTTTTTAAATTTTGAGAATCACCACAACACCACCTCAAAACACCAAAAAAAAAAAAAAAAATTAATTTTAATTTTATTTTTTTTAAATTTTTAGAATCACCACACTATCTCCTCAAAAAAAAAAAATTTTTAATTTTTAATTTTTTTTTGAAACTTTGAGAATCACCACACCACCTCCCCAAAAACACCCCCCCCCCCCCAAAAAAAAAAAAAAAAAAAAAAAAAAAAAAAAAGTGTTTCCCGCGTTTTCAATTTTTTCAAGTTTTACACTGAAAACGCCCAAAACGACAAAAAAGTCGTTTTGTGTTTTCTTCACAAATTTTTTTCGTTTTCGAAAACGTTTTCGAAAATTCGTTTTCGAAAACGGGAAAGAGAACACGTTTTCACCGTTTTGAAAAATCGAAAACAGAAAACGACCCGAAAACGGTAAAGAGAACAGGCCTGTAGTCTTTGAGAAAGAATAAAAACATCCTGTTTTAAGAAAGATGTGTTATATTTGAATGCAGTAAGCTTAGCAATATATTTGTTCTCTTTCGTAAAAATCTAAATATCAATTTTTTATCACTCTCTAACACAATCATACCGCTCGTGATCAGATTTTACTCAGACCATCCTGGACCAAAACACAGCAATTGACCACTTTCTCTGAAAAATATTTAGCCACCTCCAGATTTAAGTGTGTTGCTCAACCTGTTTAATTGAAAATATACAAAGTAAGAACATAGAACAATATAACAGAGACTTAGTTGCAAGATAATATGATGCTAATGACTGTATGATATATGGAAACTTTATTGGAGATGCATTCTTAGCGCTCGTTTGGCTCCCATTATTTGAAATTTTAATGGTTAGAATAGTGTTTTATTGAAGAACGTATGATTAAAAAAGAAGAAAAAGTTTTGGAATTATGTATAATATTATTTTATTGAAAAATGTGTAGTTGATAAGAAGATAGAAAAATGAATTATAATTTTAACAGGGGCCAAACAGGGACTTAAATTCAGAAAGCCAGAAAAATCTGGCCAAATAAAAGTGAGAAAGGTAGACTCATGATTACTTAGAAGGTGTCTTATATTGAGATAAAAACACTATGTTCGGTTCAGCCAAAACTATCATATGACATATCTATGAAATAAATCAGTTGAGCTAACCAGTCCAAGCCCTCAAAGAGACCTTCTCCTTTTATGGCAGAAGTTTTGAAAATAGCCCATTGCCGGTTCTTAATCTTGTGCATCTCTAAGGCCTCAGTTACTGCAGCATCATCAAGTGCACCGGGAAGATCCTGCAAACCAAAGCAACATGAAAATTGTGCACGCACATGTTTTTCCTACATATAAATGTCTTTGAAAAGTGGTCCCAAGCTGCTCAACGCTTTTGGACCCATTAAACACAAGCTAATTCATTCTTCCACAGCATATGCAACAGGGCAATAGCACAAACCTGCTTGTTTGCAAATATGAGGACTACAGCGCCTTTTAATTCTTCCTCCTGATAAGACAGCATAAATAATGTAAGTTAATAGTCAAGTATACTGTATATATCAAAAGCTAGAAAACATATCACTACATCAGAAATTACCTGAGCAGAAATTGGCCTGAAAACAGTCATATAAAAATCATTTTCGTCTCCAAACGTGTGAAGATATTTTCTATACTTAAATTTAGAGAGCAGAGAACTTTCTGAAAAATAAAAAAGTCGTGACAAGTTGCCGAGTTTGGTTCTCTGTAGGGTTTACTAATACACAGAGAGCTTAGGGCCATTAGGCTTCATAAGGCTGGGTAACTGAATCTAATAAACCAAAGTTCTCTCACTTGTAGATATTCAGTGAATGATTACCTTTGGAAAAGCACACTACAGTGTCCAAAAATGACAAGGCTGTGAAAAAAAGTAAGGGGGCGTTCTCTTTGTATTTTAGTTTTGTGTTTTGAGTTTTGAATTCATTTTGAGTTTTGTGCTTTGAGTGTTTGTTTTGAAATTGTTGAAAATGCGTTCTTTTTGTTAGTTTCTCAAAACAAAAAACAAATTTTTTTTTTTTTTAAATTTTGAGAATCACCACAACACCACCTCAAAACACCAAAACACGCTAGCATGTATATCAATCAAAACTATGTGTTGTTAATCCACACTTACTGCTTATTGCCTTCACAAAGCATTTACAACACAATGTTTTATGCATAGCAGGCCAACGAGAATGTTACAATTGGCTCCAAACTGTGAGGGTAGCTAATGATTTGTTATGGTAGGGGTAGAATGTTGACACTAGGCGGAAAACAGCCTTACTCTACATGGTCTTTCACCCCTCATTCTTCTAATGCAGGGGCGAATTGTAAAATGAATCCCTAATTTCTTCTTTTTGCCTTCACTGTCTGAACCAAAAGGTGGGAAAATTCCTTCTTTTGGATGAAAAGCAGCGGCGCAGGAAGATAGAACAACCACAAGCTATACTGCATTTTGTGAATACCACCTTTTACACAGGTCTGATATCCACTTTAAAAATCACAATGGACTGTCCCTTGATAATTGCCATTCCCTATAAATGGAGCCTAAAATACACTAATAAAATATGCAGAGCAGGCATTAATTATTTTGGCTTGGTAATTGACATTGGTCAAAATGCCAAATATGCTTTAACACAGCATAAAACACATAACAAGAATCTTGAACTTTATGGTGGAGCAATAAGATAAACAAAAACATACCTCTAATATAGCATGGAATTCCTCTTTTGCAACCACCAATCGATCGGTATCACTTGAATCAACAACGTAGATTATAGCTTGAGTATTGGGAAAGTAGCATCTCCAATATGGCCTAGGTGGCAAAAATTAAATTGATGTAAAACACAAAGCATGTGCATCCAAGAACTTTAGCTAGAAACAGACTCTATAATGACAGAAGCCACGAGCAAAATGTGATTTACCTGATACTAGTCTGGCCACCTGCCATCAGGAAAGAAAAACAACTGTTATATGGACATTTTAGAATGACTACTTCTTCCGTGTCAATGAACTGATTATCACAATTAAATAAAAAGTAATAATAAAACATCAGTTGGAAACCTCCACATGTAACTGTGATAGCAACTAGAAATTTCTCAAAAACTAATTATTCAAAAAGAGCAAGAGAATTGAGTTCCTGAGATACAACAGAACCTTATGCAAGCTAACAAAGATGGCAAATTTCATATTTGTATTATGCCACAATAAAGGGGAAACCATACATGTTCTCTTTCAAATCCAAAAGTTATCAACTTTGACAGTTCCTAAATGTAGTAGTGGTACTGCTGATGGTAGCTGGAGTTACATCATAGGGGTAATAAGGAATATACTCATTCTTCCTAGAAAGATGCCTAATAAGGATCTCACTTATACTACGGGGAAGATCCTAAGCATGGGTGAGTCAAAAAAAAAAAAAAAAAAAAACTCTCTCAATTTTATTTTTGCAAAAGGATTCCACCTAGACTAGGAATCTCCTTTTAAGTTCGTTTCGTCAAAGGAGACGGTAGATCACTGGTAAAGAAGTACGAAACAGCAAAAGAAAGTCAAATGTTACCAATCAAGTACTCAAAAAGGAGAAAAGGGAAATTCATCTGAGTTAAACAATCAGCATCTTCTGTTTCCCTTGCATTTAAAAGTAAGAAAACACTTAAACTGTCTAGTTCTCACCAGATCCGGCTAAATCCTCAACATTTCATCCTACGTGGATATTTCAGAAACCATTTTTCATTTCATGTGATGTCCACTCTACTAGCTACAGCTACCCTCTACTCTTAATGGCGAGGTAAGCTTTCTTTGCTGCAGTACTTCCAGTTACCAATACAGAAATCAAGTATAATGACCCTGAACTTCATATACTTCCCCCCCATGCAGGCTCATGACAAAGAACAGAAAAAAGACTGTTGCAAGTAAAGAGCCTTCCTTTTCCCATAACCATAAATCCCCGTTGATAAAATCACGCAAGTTTTGTACTTCAGTACGTAAATATATTTTTCTGATAACATTCAAAAGATTGATTTAACCTCAAATGCCTTCTAATCTTAGTTTCATATTAGTCAAAGTGAATTGTTCAGCTGAGCAAACACTCATTCAAGAAATTCCATGGTCAATAAAACTGCAACCTACATATCTGCTTTGACAGAGCGAGATTCACAACATCAGGAATGATAAAAGTAACAACAAAAGAAAATGAATAAAGTAGTAATTCAATGATATTCACAGCATATTTAAAAAACTGAAGTCTATGTAGCATCAGGTAAACGTCACATTGCGTACCTAGATCCCAGACTTGGAATTTAATGCCATTATATTGCACTGTTTCCACATTAAACCCAATTGCTGCACCAAAATGAAAAGAAAAACAAATTATTGACAATAAAGATACAATTTTCTTTCTTGCTTTCGTAAGCTAAAATTCAAATTGCACTTCTCCAATAGCTTTACACAAGCTTAGAAAACTATATATTTATTAAAAGAAAAATTCCTGCTCACAGAAAAAGCTCTTCTCAACTTAACCACAAGCAGAATTGTAGCTAGAAGTCCATGATCCGAATTTCCTTTCCTTTTGAATTTATAATAACAATAATAATGATTTTTTTAGCCCTTACTCGGGATAGTGGAAACAACTTCACCCATCTGAAGCCGATCTGAAAAGAAAAACGAAAACCTAAGTAGATCAAATTTACAACAAACGCATAGAGGAACGGTTTAGACATAAAGCGATTCCATACAAAGAATAGTGGTTTTTCCCGCATTGTCAAGCCCCAATACAAGGATCCGAGCTTCCTTATTGCCAAACAGCGACGAAAATAGCCTCGTGAACACTATTCCCATTTGTTATCAAATTCAAAATCAAACCTCTCTTGAAATATGTCAGATCGAATCTCCCTCCAATCCTTTCTGCATACGATTAAAACAATATTATTTTCAGAATAATTATGACTATAAAGTAAAAGTAAGTATGTAATTTTGTAGATTGCGAGTACCGGATGAAAAGGGAAGAGTCTGCCAGAGGAATTTGGGGGTTGATTTGTTTTTTAATTACAAAAATTATCGCACTATTAAATTGACTTAAGCATTCTCCATTATTTATTTATTTATTATTATTATTATTTTTTTAAACATTGTACTTGGGATTATAAGTTAATCAAACTTTATTTTTATTGGACTCGTATCCCATATATTTATGGGATGCATCATCTTATAATGTTAAAAAGACTTGTCAAATAAGGACTTAAATTTTATTTAAATTGATTATACCCACAAAAATAATGCGGTAGAAAAACTCAACTCAAGGCCAGATCATACGAACCCATTAATAAGTGAACCCGCATTAGAAGAATAAAATATAAGAGCCAGCATCAAATTAAAGTAAATGCATCAACTATCTCCTCATACAGCATATTGAGTTACGAAAGATCAAATATCAAAACAGCTTGTTAATACTCATTCGAGGATGATAAAATTCACAATGGTTGAGGATATAAAAGCAAAAGTGAGCAAATATTAGAAACCTGTCTCGTAATTAAAATATGATGCAGGTATAAAATATTAGGGTGTGTTTGATTACATTTATTTTCCATGGAAAATATCAGTTTTCCATCCAAATTTTCACTTGGAGTGTTTGATTGCTATTTTTTTCCATGGAAAACATTTTCCAACTTTTGAAAATATGCCTAATTTTCCTTGTTTTTAAGGAAAATGTTTTTCTTGGGTAGAGGTGGTTTTTATTTTCCACAAAAGATGGAAAATATTTTCTTTTCTAGGTAATATTTTCCATGTCAATCAAACACACTCTTATTGTGTGAATGTAATTATCCTAATTGTAATGGGATAGTTAAAAACAAAGTTTAAACTAGAACTAAGCTACAAATCTCAAAAGTAGGCGAATGAATGATCCAAGAACTTCAAATTATCGCGGATTCTCGATATTTAATCACTAAATTTAATCATTTGAATGTGAAGCCTATTTTGCCCATACACTATAACACATGTTAGAAACCTATCGACAATGCATTTAGAAGAGGCACCTCTGGTTTTAGAAACATTGGTATATTTTTATTTTTTTTCCCCATAATCATTTTTAATACACATTCTGTGAATATATGATTTTTTCCTACTTTTTAATCACACATTTTTTAAAAAAAAATTATTTTTCACTCGAAAAATCTCTTCCAAACAAAAGCTTAATTTTTATTTTTATTTTTATTATTTTTATTTTTATTTCTTGGACTAGAGGTTAGCTCATAACCTTGCATAACATACATTGGCACATTATGAAGAATGTTTTGGCACGCTTTAAAATCACCTCCTCATAAATTCTTAGAACGAGATAATGTTACAAAAACAATTATGAATAATCTCTATTTCTATCAAGAGCACTTAATTCAGTGAGAGAATGCATTTACGGTACAGCTTTGGTTGGGTTCTAGTTACAAGCGGTTCAAGTGATTAGGCTCAACCCCTTTCTTCGTATGAGCTTATAAATTGTTATTGCCTTCTTGGCGTTCTCTAGTAATTGGAGGTCAAGTCTACCCCTTCGTAAAAGTTACTTTCTTTTCCATTAATAAAATCGCGTCCTTTGTATTGGTCTAATCAAAATCAATTATCTTTTCTTACACAATTTTCTTGCCATTAAACCTAAAATTTCTCCAATTTATACTTGTAGTAAGAGCGTTTTATGCATTAAATACGCATACATGAATCTTAGGTTAAATGTATATATGTATTAATAATTGTATTCTAAACTAGAACATTTTACAAATATTCAAGATTTTCGGTGGACTCAGACTTTTTGTGTTGTGGTATCAAAAATTAAAGTGTATTTAAAAAAAAAATACATGTTAATAAAAATTGTTAATATGCATTTTGATATTTAATTTTATCATTATCAACATTGTTAAATAGATTTCGCTACTAGTATAATTTTGTTTACCATTTCGTTGATAGATATTGAGCTGACAGCGTGTAAATCAAATTGAATTTGGGAAGTAAATAAATTAAAATAAAATTCACATTTAGTCTAGGAAGTAAATGAAATTTAAATTTAATGCAAAAGTGATTCAAATTACATTTAATTCGCAACGTTTCTAAAATTATTAAATTCATATTCCATATAAAATTTCATAATAAAATTGAAAGTTATGCAGTTCGACCCAAACAACTCCTGAAGAGATGAATAGGTATTTGCGCGAAATTTAAGCAAATTAATTGACAATTGCAATACGTCACGGTTATTGATTAGTCCAGATGAATTCACATGCAATCTACTCCATGTTGAATTGTCGCAGTTTAATAAATCGCTGAAAAAATAAATAACACATGATATTTGATGATGAAGAAAACACCTCGCAAGATTAAAAACTCAGGACCCAAGCCAGTATGAATTCACTATAAACGAATCAACTTATAGTACCGTCAAATTTGACCAACACAAGTATTTTCTGACCTCCTCACTGTAATTCCCAAAACTCTCCTGAATTGCGTGCACCTGTACCAACTCCCAACTTTCTAATTCCATTTATCTCCCATGAATTCCCGAGAACTCCTTGTTTTCCAACAATCGGAACTTTGGTCACCTTTTTTTTTTTTTTTTATCTTCAACCTCTAACAAAAGTTTTGGTTTTTGGTGTTTGAATTTTTGGTTTTGATGTTTTCAATTGCCAATCTCAATGATTGATGGATTGTATGAAATATGAAAAGTGTACATGTTTTCTCACAATGAACAATCCAAGGTTTTTGGTGAAACATCGTAGGTATTCATATAAAAGACGTTTTGGATAGTATAGTCTTATTAAAATTCTCAAAAATCACAATTTAGGATTTTCTGGCAAGCATTGTCGCTCGAGCGACAGACAAGCGAAGATCGAGCAATGGTGTTTCGCTCAAGCAAGGTCCAGACGATTAGCTAGTGAAGTCTATTATATTTTTGTCGCTCGAGTAGTATGTAGGCGAGAGGCAAACGAAATTGTGGCGGCTCTTATTTCCTAATTCCGAGCTTTAACCCTAACTTACCAACAACTACTATGCAAAATTGCACCTATCTACTTGACTTTTATACTTTTTCAATTTGGTCCTTTTTTATCATAGAATCACCAGTTACATTAAAACCTAGCAAATAATGTAGATTATATTGAAAAATTTATGATGCAAAAATAATAAACATCAATAAAATGATTGAGAATTTTTAAAGAAAAGACGAATTAGAAGTCTCTTTTAAGGCGTACGTTTAACACATTTAATTATTTTCAATACTTGTTTGAACTATTCTAACTAGGATATAGATCTCGAAATGAGCTTCTAGATGACATAGGGAATTTGTGGATTTAGATAGTATAGATCATCGACGAATGTTGAAAGTTAGCATATTACCGAAATTCTCAAAATAGTAGTTGGGAACAGCCTATTTTGTTGTAAATTTTATTACGATTGGTCGTTTCGCATGCCATTGATGAACGCAAAATTAGGTCGTGAGAACTTTGAAATACTATTAAGAATGCAATGTTTCGACTTCATTCGACATCTTGTAATAAGTGCGTCTAAAAAAAAATTTTGGTTTG